CCAGGGGGGATGGCCACGCCGCAATCCCTTCTCCTCCATTCTCCTCTCGGGATCTTGGGCACGCATGCACACGCACCCGGCGTGAGTTTAAGCCACCGGGTCCGGGACTCGAACCCTGGGCCACTACAAAGGAGTCCAACAATGTAGCCATTATGCCATCTGCTGGCCCCAAGCATGGTGCTTTATCCCTGCATCACCCTCCAGCCCCTGCTTATCAGACCATTTTATAGATGAGGAATCAGAGGCTTAGGAGGGAGGGGACAGCTTCCCCCCCACCCCCGGGGGAGCCTCAGGACTGGGGAGGGGCAGAGGTGAGTCCGGGACCTCCTGGAACCTTCCAGCACAGAGTCGCCTTGTCCTGCTTCCGTGGATGTTGTCTTTGGTGGTTTGAAGCTGGCTGGCGTTTCCGTCTTCCCTTAGCAAACCCGGGTGGGACTCACGGTGCCGGTGCCGGCTGAAGGCTCAAAGCAGCTTTTGACACTAAGTAGTATTTTTGTAACTGGGGACTTGGAAAACTCGGAATGGAATGGGAAGTTGTTTGTCCCACGTTTTTGAAATGATTGCTAGAAAGGTCTCTTTTTCTTCTTCTGTTTTTAAAATAATTATGTATTTAATTTTTATTTATTTATTATCATTCTTTGATTCGATCAGAGAGATACAGAGAGAGAGAGAGAGAAAGAGTGAGAAAGCAAGCCACCAGATCTGGGATGCAAACCATGGTCAGCCATGTGGGAGTCCAGCGCCTTCACCACCATGCCACCAGTCAGCCCCATTCTTCTATTTTTTTAAAAAAAAGTATGGGTATTATTTATTTAATTATTTATTTTGGAGAGGTCTTTGCTATAGGGCGTGTGCGCTCACCAGACAGACAGAGGGAGACAGAGAGACAGAAAGCGAGAATCACCCCCCCAGGGGGGATGGCCATGCTGCAATCCCTTCTCCTCCATTCTCCTCTCGGGATCTTGGGCACGCACGCACACGCGCCCGGCGTGAGTTTAAGCCACCAGGTCTGGGATTCGAACTGCGGTCAGCTACATGGGAGTCCAGCGACATAGCCATGATGCTAACTGCTGGTCCCTGCCTCAGCTGTTCTGAGCTGTGATGTGCCCTGGGACCTCTCTGGTAGCCCACGCTGATGCCACGTCGGGGTGTTTTGCAGTTCGTGGACGCGGACAACTTCATCCTCAACCCCGACACCCTGAGCCTGCTCATCGCCGAGAACAAGACGGTTGTCGCCCCCATGCTGGACTCCCGGGCTGCGTACTCCAACTTCTGGTGTGGAATGACTTCCCAGGTAGGGCAGTGGCCCGGGAGTGGTGGCCACTGGGCTGAGCAAGAGTGAGGGATGGTCTGTGATTGTCTTTCGACATGACTGAGATGCCAACAGAAACACAGAGGAAGTTACTTGGCCAAAATTGTGCAGTTATGAAGTAGCGATGCCAGAGAGGACTTCAGGCACGGCTTGATCCAGGTGTTCCAACAAGGGTCTTTTTTCATCCCTTGGCTGGCTTCATTGTCACACTGCCCCAGATAAGCTCAGCAGTGTCTAGCCACCGTCTGCTCTGATTGGGCCATCTCCAGTCTCCTCCCTACCTCCTCAACCAATTACCAACGCCAGGAAAAATAGGAGGCTCTGATTGGTCAGGCCCAGGTGCAAGTCCCACTGAGATTTGAGTCTGAGGTCATAGGCAAAGCGGGGGTGGGGGGATGACAGAGTGGGTGGTGGCCCTGAGCCCTGTCTACTTTCCTACTGTCATTTATTTTTATGCCCCTTAAATTTTTGCCATTGGGCACGAGTGCTTATTGGAGAGAGAGACAGAAAGACAGAGAGAGGGAAAGTGAGTAAACACCCCCTTGGGGGTGTCCATGTGTCCATACCACAATCCACTTTGCTCTGTCTCCTCTTAGGATTTTGGGCATGCACTTCCACATGTCTGGCATAAGTTTCAAGCCACCAGGTCTGGGATTTGAACTACAGATGGCCATGTGGGAGCCCGGTGCCTTAACCACCATGCCACCTGCTGGCCCTGAGTCATTTTGGTTTTAACTGATGTAAAATTCCTATAACATAAAATTCATCTTTTTTTTTTTTTAAGAGAGATTTTTTTTTTTAAAGATTTATTTATTTATTCATTCATTCCTTCATTTTAATTTGACCAGAGAGAGACACAGAGAGAGAGAAAGGAAAGTGAGAAAGGAAGCCACCAGGTCCAGGACTCGAACCGTGATCAGCCATGTGGGAGTGTCCAGCACCTTAACCACCATGCCACCTGCTGGTCCCAAGAGAGATATTTTTAAAGAATTATTATTTATCTATTTGTTTATTTATCTATTTATTTTAGTTTGACCAGAGAGGGACAGAGCAAGAGGGAGAATAAGAATAAGACAGAGAAGAGAGGGAAAGTAAGAAAGCAAGCCTCCAGGTCTGGGACTTGAACCACAGTAAGCCATGTGGGAGTCCAGCGCCCCCACCCCTTAACCACCATACCACCTGCCGGCCCCAGAAACTTTTGCTACAGGGGGCGTGTGCTTGCTGGAGAGGCAGAGAAAAACAGAAAGTGAGAAATCACCCCCAGGGGAGATGGCCGTGCTGCAATCCTTTCTCCTCCATTCTCCTCTCAGGATCTTGGGCACGCACGCACACGGGTGTAGTATGAATCTTAAGCTGCCAGGTCTGGGACTCGAACCATGGTCAACTACATGGGAGTCCAGCAGTGTAATCATTATGCCACCTGCTGGTCCCTCTTTTATTTTTTTTTTGGAGAGGTTTTTGCTATAGGGCACATGCACTCACCAGACAGACAGAGAGAGATGGAGAGACAGAAAGCAAGAAATCACCCCCCAGGGGGGATGGCCATGCCACAATCCCTTCTCCTCCATTTTCCTCTTGGGATCTTGGGCATGCACGCACACTTCATGGGAGTCCAGCAATGTAGCCAATATGCCATATTTATTATTATTATTTTTCAATTTGACCAGAGAGAGGGAGAGTGATAGTGAGAAAGGAAGCCACTGGGTCTGGGACTCGAACCACTGTTGGCCCTCTGGGGGGGTCCACTGCCTTAACCACCATGCCGCCTGCCGGCCGCTATTATTATTTTAATTGGACCAGACAGAGCTAGAGACAGAGGAAAGAAAGCAAGCAAGCTGCTAGGTCCGGGATTTGAACCCGGTCAGCCATGTGGGAGTCCAACGCCTTAACCACCCCACCTCTGCCTTTCTGATCCGGCGCGTGGAGACGGGTCCATGTGGGCCAGTTTTCCTTGCTCTGTCTATCATCCCAGACTCTGGGGTGGAGCCCGTGCCCCGGGTCCCTAGATCCTGCCGTGTGACCCCCCGCAAAGCCAGAGAAGCCCTCTGTTCTTGACCTCTGCCCTTTGGGGACCCCCACGGACTCCCCTAACCCCTCCCCGCAGGGCTATTACAAGCGCACGCCCGCCTACATCCCCATCCGCAAGCGCGACCGCCAGGGCTGCTTCGCGGTTCCCATGGTGCATTCGACCTTCCTGATCGACCTGCGCAAGGCGGCGTCCAGGAACCTGGCCTTCTACCCGCCCCACCCCGACTACACCTGGTCCTTCGACGACATCATCGTCTTTGCCTTTTCCTGCAAGCAGGCAGGTGAGTGCCTTGGGGGTGGCGTGTGTGTGGCGGGGAATCTAGCTGGTTCTTTGGGTTCTGCATTGAGGTAACAGAGCATTCTGAGGGTGCAGGGTGGACTTCAGGCATGGCTGTATCCAGGTGTTCAGGTAATGGCTCCAAGACCCTGTCTGTCTCCAGCCCTGGCTTTTCTGGTTGACGTCACTCTCTGGCTCTTTGAAACCTGTTTATTGGGGGCCAGCACGTGGCATGGTGGTTAAGGTGCTGGACTCCCACATGGCTGACCAGGGTGGAAGTCCCAGACCTGCCGGCTTGCTTTCTCACTTTCCCTCTCTCTCTGTCTTCTGTTTTTCTCTGGTCAAATTTTTAAAAAATGATAATAAATAAATCTTTTTTTTTTTTTTTTAATCCATTTGTTGAACGAAACTTTCATCCTAATACTATTTTTTTTTTTTTAGGGTTTAGCTATGGGGTGTGTGCACTCGCTAGAGAGAGACAGAGAGGGAAAGTGAGAAATCACCCCCTGAGGTGCATGGCCACGCCCGGTCCCTTCTCCATTCTCCTCTCAGGTTTTGAGCACACATGCACCCAAGCCCAGGATGAGGTTTAAGCCACTGGGTCTGGGACTCAAATCACAGCCGCCTACTTGGGAGTCCAGCAACGTAACCATTCCGCCATCTGCTGGTCCCGTGATTTATTTTTTAAGCTTTTGCCTCCAGGTATGTGTGCTCCCTGGAAAGAAGCAGAGACAGAGGGAAAGTGAGAACTCACCCCCCAAGGGGAACAGCCACATCACAATCCCTTCTTCATTCTTCTCCTAGGATCCTGGGTACCCATGCACATGCACCCAGCATGATTTTCAAACCACCGGGTCGAGGACCCGAACCAAGCAGTCAGCCATGTGGGATCCATTGCCTTAATCTCCACACCACTGGTTGTTCCCTCCAATAGGGTCTTGACTCCAGGATGTACTCCCAGCCTCAGCCAGACCAGCTCACAGTAGCACTCGCCATGTACAGAGAGACCTGCAGGCTCGAACCTGCGGTCCTGGACACTGAGTGCAGCATCTCAGAGACTCGTGCCACTGCTGGCCTCTCCCATACAGGCCCTAGTCATAGCCCGTTTCTCCTCTCCGCTGCAGTGAGCTGACATTGGCTTGCACAGAGCCTGGTCCAGGCC